GTGGGAAGGTAACAGCGTTCCGTGTCTAACTCGCACTGGCCATGTGACCACGGAAGATTGTCTTCGGACATACGCTGTCTCTATGGCTTGGAAACAGGGATGAGCACCGCTCCCTAGAGTTGAACACGACTGGACAAAAATTGTCAAGGGGAACCTTTACCTTTTTATGTCGGACATTATTTGACATATTAAACATGTCAAATCTTGATATTAAATATTTGACATTGATTTTGATTCTCGTTATTACACTTTTGGATGAATTGTGCAGAAAAAATATCGACTAAACTCCATACTAATCCCAGATGACCTGTTTAAAAATGACTAGGCTATGTGTATGTGTGTGTGTTGTGATGATCTTAGAACTATGAAAGTACCTTCTCCATTTACAAGAGAATCCAATGCAACAGAGGTGGGAAATACATGACTATGCAGATATTGTTGGATTGCAATTCCCATTAGACCTAGACATTGCTCCCTGTGGTGCAGGATGCTGGGAATTTGTCATTCCAGCAACATCTTGAGGCCAATATATCCCATCCCTGCTATGTAGGACTCAAAACTAATACACTTTCTGTATAAATTCTACAAAACACCACTGATTATGTATAATCATATAAATTGCTATGTATTACTAGGATGAAATATGTGATTTAAGCAAAAGTAAGAGGGTCAGTTCAAGTCCCAAACAGAAAGCCTTTATACCATGTTGGAGTTCATGCCAGCACTGGTTTTGATAATACTTAGCTTTTTAACATGAGTCAGCAGTAATCAGTGTCACACTTGTAGTAATACAACATTGCCTTGAGAAGCTGTGCATAATTGTATAGTTGTAGTGAGACAAAGTTTCTAGTGGTTTAAAAGGAAAAGAAGAATGTATCAACTCCATTATACTAGGGCTCTCTGTGCTTGCACAAACATATGTCAAATGCCCCCTTTAAAAATGGTTGAAAATTATGTGTGTTCACCCCGATCCCATGATCCCCTGTCTCGCTATCAAATGTTTGTCTCAGAGCTAAAACCACAAGTAGGGAGATGTTCCTGCTCTAGGCAGCATCAAGGCCTGATAAAGGAGAGCTTTGAAAGTGCTAGTGAGGCTGGATGACATTTACCCAGAAGTGTAACTTCAAGGGCTTTCAGATGTCCGTCTACAGATCAAGAGGATGCCATCTGAAGTATGTATATACCAAGTGCTTCCCCTACAATAGGATGTTTGCCCAGAACCGAGCACCTTCCTGTTCCCAGTCAGTAGAGCTTTGAAGATGCCCCCTTTCCCTCCACCTGAACAAGTCTTTCTTTAAATGTGAGATACATTTCTACTTTGTTAACTAACATTTGCATTTTGGAATTGTGCACTCCTACCCACGGGGGTAAAAAGGACCTCATTTTCAAGATATTTTGAAATAGAGGTGGTTATGTATGCAAGTGCCACGATTCCACGTTGGCCCCTCATTGTTTCACCAAAGTAGGAGCTCACGCTACGTGCCCCTCAGCTGCCACCAGTTGATTTCATCAACAATACCTGTTATTAATAATAGATGTCCAGACCACATATCATTTTAAAAGAACCAAATAGAAATTGTTTATTGATACAGGTGTTGACAGAAGAAGCAAGGTTGTTAACTTTTAAACAAAGATTATTCTTTATCCTCCCTCAACCACCATTCTCCTGCCCAAACTCCAAAACTCCACCAAACTCTCTAACAGTCTAATTCTCCATCTCTAGAACCCTCTCTAAACCTTATCTATGTCTATCTAAACTCCTCATCCTCCTGTTGAGTCTCTTATACCTTGTGACTCCACCCTTCCAGGGTTCCCATTGGTCTGTGCATATAGCATATGAATATTCCTGAGCTGGGCGAATGCCATAACTAGTGACCATTTTGAAATAATTATGAGCATAATCAAGATGAGCATACCGCCCCCACTTGATTCTGTTCAACCTCTTGGGCTGTAAAGCTTGGGTGCACAAAACTATGGTGTGATAGGTAACAATAACCCCCCTTGAACATATTGTAGTAGATCCTTGCGCAAAAAGTGTTTAGTTATGGATTGCTCTTTGTCCTATAGCATTTGTTTTGTGGCATGAGTTGAGAGAGAGAGAGAGAAAGAGAGAGAGTGGGGATGTTCATTGGTTTCTGTTACTCTTACCTTGTGATGGCTATACGTTTCTAGTTTATTTTATAAAGCTTAAAAATATTATAAAAGTAAGGCCTGGAAACAATAATACATCACCAAGATTGTAATAATGTGATATTCAACACAAATGACATCCTTAGCCATTGTATATTTTAGCCAGTTGTGTGTGCTTACTTTTTTTAGTTCTTTCTTTAAGTTTTCTATATAGTATTCTTTACAAAATTATATTAGTGACATCATTCACCAGGACCTAGTTGACAGATGTGCCATGTTGTCCTTTAAGCGCCCTTGGATTCCCTCACCTCTTGCAAGTTACCTCAGAAGGATAATAATAATAATAATAATAATTTATTGTCATTGTAAGTGTATACACATACAACGAAATTCACAGACACCCAGAGACCAGACACATGCACACACATAAAATTCCCAAACACTCCCCACCCACTAAAAGTCCCCCACTAAAAATACAAACATCTACACCGCAGGCCAAGTTACACAGTCCAACTAATTATTCACTACTGGTGGTCTTTAAGCTCATTATTAATTGCAATTATAGCTCTGGGATAAAAACTATTGAGAAAACGTGTGGTCCGAGTCTTAATTGTTCTATATCTTCTGCCAGATGGTAACAGTTCAAAAAAGTTATAAGCAGGATGGGAAGAGTCTCTCAGGATGCTATGTGATTTCCTTAGACAGCGGGATGTGAAGATGTCATCCAGGGTTGGTAGCTGGAGCCCGATGATATTCTGGGCAATTTTAATGGTTCTCTGTAGAGCTTTTTTGTCCGCTACAGAGCTACTCCCAAACCATGCCAGAATGCCATAGGTTAGGACACTCTCAATGGTGCTACGATAGTATGACAGAAGCAAATGCTGAGATAAATTTAACTTGCCGAGCATTCTCAGGAAATACAGCCTCTTCTGTGCCTTCTTCATTAGCATGTTGGCATTTATAGTCCATGAGAGGTCCTCTGAGATGTAAGTACCCAGAAATTTAAAACTACCAACTCTCTCCACTTCCTCACCGTTTATGTACAGTGGTAAATGTACATATCTCTTCCTCCTAAAATCAATTATGAGTTCTTTAGTTTTTTTGATGTTAAGTGTGAGATGATTTTCTTTACAGCAAAGTATCAACCTTTGTACTTCCTTTCTATAAGCAGACTCATTGTTCTTATTTATGAGCCCCACCACTGTCGTATCATCCGCAAATTTAATAATTGCATTGGTGTTATACAGTGGGGTGCAATCATGTGTGTACAGGGAATAGAGGAAGGGACTTAGCACGCAGCCCTGGGGAGCTCCTGTACTTAGTACCAGGGTAGAAGAATGGTGAGATCCCATCCTTACTGACTGTGGCCTATCTGTCAGAAAATCCTTTATCCACATGCATATCTCCTGAGGTAATCCCAGGTTGATCATTTTAAAAAACAACCTATTTGGTAGAATGGTATTAAAAGCAGAGCTATAATCCACAAACAACAGCCTCGCATAAGTTCCCTGTTGTTCTAAGTGGCTCAATACAGTATGGAGTACAATGGACACAGCATCATCAGTAGATCTATTTTTCCTGTATGCAAACTGCCATGGGTCCAAAGAAGGTGGAAGACTAGCCTTAATGTAATCCAGCACCAATCTCTCAAAACATTTCATAACAACAGATGTTAAAGCTACTGGTCTATAATCATTGAGAGATACCACAGCTGACTGCTTGGGGACTGGCACTATAATAAATGTCTTCAGGCAAGTGGGGACTGAACACTGCAACAAGGATAGATTGAAAATATCCGTAAAAACTCCAGCTAATTCTGCAGCACAGCCCCTAATAACTCGTCCCATGATTCCATCTGGTCCAGCTGCCTTTCGAACGTTAATATTCTGGAAAGCGCGTCTCACATCTGAAATCTGCAGTACTAGTGGTTTCTGTTGATCGTAGATTCTAGTGATGTATTATAGACAGTAGGTGCTGGAATAATGGTTGTTCCTGTTTCCACCTCAAAACGGCTGAAAAATTGATTTAACAGCTCAGCCAAAATATGTACTTGGTTGAAGGTTTACTTCACTTTAGCTTCACACAATCTTGTTTCAAGTTTATATACCTGATATTCCATGTGTTTGTTTTCTGTTTAGTATACAACCTTTTGTGTGTCAGCATTGAGAACACTGGTGCCCTCTGTACATTTAATCTCCTGGGGAAATGGCATAAAATGAAAATTTCTAATGTTGCATTTGTGCCGCTGCATATTCTATTGAACATGCAATTGTGTAGCCTTATATAGCATATAATCCATAGCATGTGCACTTAGATCAAGCTGCAGAACTTCCCGTTTTGCTATTTCTTGCCTGGTTCAACAGTCATTATCCAGAGGGTATAGTTCAGTGATGGAACATATGCTTGCTATACTGAAGGTCCCATGTCCCATTTCTGGCATCTCTTGTTCATGGGGTGGGCAAAAACGACTTCTAGAAACTCGAAAGAGTTGCTATTAATTGCAGTTGATAGCAGTGGGCTGAGGGAATATATAAAAGCTTAAGAAAAATGTACTTCAAATATTTCTTTCACATTTTAATGTTAAAATAACTGATTAACTGGAGCTTTCATTAAAACTTCCCCTCTCCACTTTGGCCTTATTACCCTTCCCCACCCTCTCTCCGATTTTACATTATGTTCTATTTCTGTTTTCTAATCTGTACATCAAACTTTTATACATTAAATGAATGAAAATAAATTGTTGCAGGAGAGGGATTGTGTTTGATCTTGTGATGAAAGTAGCGTGAATGAGATTTAGCTAGTTTGATTGGTTTGATTTATCATGGCAGGAAATAGCTCACCTAATAGCACTTATTCCTTCTGTTTTTCAGATGCAGCAATTATTCCATGAAAACTATGAACACAACCGGAAGGGTTACATACAGGATCTTCACAACAGCAAAATTCACACAGCAATTACACTTCATCCAAATAAAAGGCCAGCCTATCAGTATAGGCTTCACAATTACATACTAACTCGTAAAATTTCAGAATTGCGTTACCGCACCATCCAGCTTCATCGTGAAAGTGCCCTTATGAGCAAGCTCAGTAACGAGGAAATGAGCAGAGATGATCAGCTTCTGGGCATGATGCCATCTTTCAACCGCTTCCAGCCACGTGACAGAAATGAAGTGATTGAATGGGACTTCCTGACTGGAAAGCTTCTTTACACTACGGCTGAGAATCAGCCACCAAGGCAGAGCATTAACAGCATTCTGCGGGCAGCGTTGGATGATGCCATAATGCAGGTCATGGAAATGATCAATGAGAACTCTAAATCTAGAGGAAGGCTTATTGACTTCAATGAAATACAGTATGGGTACCGCAGGGTTGACCCTCTGCATGGTGTGGAATACATCTTGGATTTGCTTCTTTTGTATAAAAGGCACAAAGGAAGAAAAGTCACTGTTCCAGTTCGACGACATGCTTACCTTCAACAGTTATTTAGTAAACCATTTTTCAGAGAGGAAGAAGAACTGGATGTAAGAAGCCTCGTGGAAAGCGAGAACAGTGACATACAGTCCTTTTCCTTCCTTTCCGATTCCCTGAATATTTTTTCATCATTCCAAGGCACCAAAGAAATAAGGGGAATCAGTGACAAGAAGATACACATTCTTGTCCCTCTCACAGGGCGATATGATATTTTCCTAAGATTTATGGAGAACTTTGAGAAGACTTGCCTTATCCCAAAGCAGAACGTGAAGTTGGCAGTCATTCTTTTTAACTCTGATTCTAGTCAGGGCTCCAGCAAACACCTTGAGTTAATAAGTGAATATCAAAATAAGTATCCTACAGCAGACATCAGTATTGTTCCTATGACAGGAGCTTTCTCTAGAGGTTTGGGGCTTGACATGGCCTCTTCTCAATTTGGCAATGACACTTTGCTCCTATTCTGTGATGTTGACCTGATATTTACTCCTGATTTTCTCCAGCGATGCAGAGCTAACACCATTCAAGGGCAACAGGTATATTACCCTATTATTTTTAGTCAATATGACCCCAAAGTAACATATGGGGGCAGCCCTCCGAAGGACAGTACCTTTGTTTTCACAAAGAAAACTGGATTTTGGAGAGATTATGGGTTTGGGATCACTTGCATTTACAAAAGTGACCTTGTCAATGCTGGTGGATTTGATACCTCAATACAAGGCTGGGGTCTTGAGGATGTAGACCTCTTCACTAAAGTAATAAATTCTGGACTGAAAGCATTTAGAAGCCAAGAAGTGGGAGTTGTGCATATTTTTCATCCAGTTCATTGTGATCCCAACCTAGACCCTAAACAATATAAGATGTGTTTGGGGTCCAAAGCAAGTTCATTTGCCTCTGCCATGCAACTAGCTGAAATATGGCTAGAAAAACATTTAGGTGTCAGATACAATCAAACTCTCTCCTGACATTCTCACACATCCTGCCTTCCTAGGGGAGGTTACCTCATTGCATCTTTCTTTTGTTCTTGCATTCTTACAACTCCTCTTTGTCTTCCAAAGGTTGTGTCTTTGACCTCAAATAAACAGATTCTGCTGTCAAGAACATTACAGATCCCTACTGAACTGATTACATGTGGTGTCTTTCTATTCTCTTTGATCATAAACTGAATGAAACCATGGCAATCAAGCAGTCCCACAGAGCACATCCATCATGAGGACCGCATCAGAAGAATGTTCTCTTTGGGCTTCAAGATGCAATATCAATCTTGATTGTGTCTGTCAAACTTAATGTGATAACAAATGTTTTCTGGTGAAGGTACCACAAAAGTGCTTTATGCTTCCTCTGGGAATGAGACTCTGGCAAACTTGAGTTTTATAATTTATAGGAGGACTAAAATAAACAGTATTATTCTACATCTTTACATTTTTTAAAGGGAACAAGTAACTGACTGTGTCTCTATTTTTTAAAAAAAGAGGAAAACACACATACAAACTGATGGTTTTCTTCCAAAGTGCAATGGTACTGGATACCAAGAACCTTAAATGTCATATTAAAATGACCTCCGTATTAATTGTCTATTCTAAATGCAGTTGGACTGTGTTTTCTCAAGAAAACGTGACTTAGTCAAATATTTGTGTATGTTGGAAAGGTTTTTGAACCAATGTCCTTAATTTGCTGGGAAAAAGAATTCATAATACATTGTGGTTATTTATAATAAAGTGCAAGCATACCATATACTTTTTTTTTCCAGAGACAACATTATGTTGTTTTGTCTCTGTTTAGGATGAGCCTCTAATATATATAAATAATTTTCTATTTTGTTCCTTTCATAAGACTGCACTTGATACAAAAGGAAATAAAAGGGTACTTAATACTTTTTATAATTATGCATTAATATTGAATTAATATTGATGTTCTGAATCGATTATTGTTAAAAGAAAATGTAATTATTTAACTATGAAGTTACTTGCTGGTCAAAGTTCTTGCCAATATATTTATATCAGTGAAGATTTATAGGAAGTGGAATGTGTTAAAACCTCTCTGAGAGTCCAAAAGTATCATAAATTGTATTGATGGAATGTTGAAAGGGAAATCAGTGTTAGAAACCAAAAGGTTAAGTTTGCTTTTTGAATTTTTTTTTTACTTAGTGTTTTCCCCCTTTTGGATAAATATAAAGTTATAGTCATTTCAACCCAAAACAGTACAATATAGGTAGTTATTTCTTGCCCCAGTTTTTGTAAGTTGCATATATGGCATACTATTTTGTCATCAAACTTGCAAAGAATACAGAGAGAGTGACCAAATGTACAAGAAGGTAAACGATATAATACGATCAACTTTATCAAGAAAAACTTAGTAGGTAATATTAATTCATGTTTCTATGAGAAGAAAATCTTGTGGTGTGTATTCAGTGTATCTTTTGACTATGATTCTCTCTGAATCTACACCCATAAGCATCCAATGGATTGTATATGAGCACACTTGAATTGACTCAAAAAACTTACAAGGGTGGGAAATTCCCCTACAGTATACTCCTTCATTGAAGGAAGTCTAATTAAGTCCAGAGGAACTTACTCCCAAGTAAGGAGGTATCACGTCAAATTTCTGTTAAACATGACTTAATTTAGTCATCTGCTAGAAGCCCTTGAGAAGGATGTTGTGGGGGGGGGAAGCTTGTTTTAAAATGTGATTCTATTCACTTAAAACATTCCCAAGCATATTTAAAGTGGACCAAACCCATTTTTACAACATTTAGAGACTTGATTTCTCCTTTTGGTTAGACAACTTAAACACCAAGGAAGCTGACTGAGGCTGTGAATAGTGAGAGGTGAGGAGTAGCTGTGAGCCGCAGGGAGATTTAGCTGTTCAGGCTCCATGGCTTTCACTGATTCTCTGAGTAAAATAGCCTGATTACCTAAAGTAGATATGGGCCCATCACTAGTGTTGAAATAAGAGTCAGCTGCTAATCTACACAATTTGAATTGCGGCAGTGATAGCCTGCCATTTTATCTTTGCCTTAGGCAGCAAAAACCTCTTAGACCAGCCCTGTTGGCAGTCCTTCATGAGAATCTAGTTTCTGCCGAATTAGTTTAACTTGCAAGTAGAGAACTATGCTGTAAAGGAGGTGATATTCACGTTGAATAACAGAGGTTAGTTAGATTTGAAACACTGGGATAGAATATCATAATTGAATGTTATCACCATTGTTCCCAATGCTTCAAGCAAGCTTCTTTCTTTCACAGAACTGGAGATCTGTGAGATCATTATTCAATATTTGTTGTTTCCCCTTTACTTTAAGCTCTGCGTGATCTCTCCCCTCCTCTTCATTCTCAAAAGCATTTCCACTTCGTGCACACACCTGCACCTGTGTATGATTGCACTGTAACCATTTATACACATTCCATTGTGAATGTACACATAATATTGCAAATGTAATTGATGTAGGTCTTCTCCTTGTGAATAATATAGTTGGGCATTGCAACATGCCTATATCAGTTGCACTGTTGCTGACTAGCCTTCCTGTGTACTTTGTTGAAGCCAAACTGATGCCATAATGAATGTTCTGTCACCTGTAGTTTGCCCTTGACCTAAAACCTAAAGCCATAAAACCTTCTCATAGATAAAAGTTTAAGAAATTCTTGCATACATTGTAAGTCTTTAGCATTATCAAAACTTCACTAATGCAAGAGATGTACGAAATGTGCCAACAAAAAAAAAATTGCCTGCCCTTGGAAGGAATCACAGTAAAATATACCAGCATCCCTAGTCCCTTGGATGATGTTAAACTGGGCAGCTAACATCATTTTGGGATTTAGAAAACTTGCTGACAGGTGGGAGAACCCACAAGCCTAATTCCTCTTTCTGAAATCTTTTGTTTCCCAGTTACACATATAATTTAAATGACATGTACAACTGCTTATGGAAACCAAAATGTTTTCCATCCAGAATTTATGCGCTCTTCCTGTGTTGTGATGTCTGAACTTACTGAGCCAAGCAGAGCTGATGTTTGGAACTCCAGATATTCTTTGCAGGTTGAAGATGATTTCTTAGAATGCCACTTAACTGTGTACAAAACTGAACAAAAGTGGAGCTATCATGAGCAATTACAACAGCAAAATTTTCTGAAAATCTGTCTTAACTCGTTGATAAAACTGACAAAGTGCTCTGCCTTGAACTAAATTAACATTGGTTAGGCTACAATGCAGCAAGAACATGAATTGGATGGACTGGATGGCTGCAGAGGGAGTTCTGTGTATAGAGGACTTGCCGGATCGGGTCCTGAAATAAAATGTTAGTTCTTACTATTTAGAGATATTTATTTAGTGTATGACCAATTCATTTGTTTATATGATGGATTACTTTGTTACAAACTGGATTATAAATGTTTGTTATAAAATATTGCATTGTCTTCTGAATACCTGTTTTCAGATGAATTGTGCTAGCTGATTTTTGGTAGACAGTTCTTTCAGTGCTAATGTAGTCAGAATGGAGGGAATCTATTGGGTTTTAGCATGCCGAAATTCTATTTGAATGAACAGAGGTTCTGCCAAGAAATTCACAACTGTTGTCAGCCACTTGAAGGAGGGCTTCTGGTGAATTGTGCCCAGTGTTAGAAAAGCTATATTATCATGCATAAAGTATTTCCCCGTTTTGTGTAGTCTCTTGTTCAAGTATCATTACCTAAGTTCTAATTTCCAATGTGCAGATTTGATCAGTTACATGATAGAGAGTAATAGCCAATGTCTCCAGATGTACATGGATTTTGAGATGATGTTGTCCTTTCGTCAGTGCCAAGCAGTTTTCATGACAATTTAGTTAGCATTGGATGGGGTGTGTGTGATATTTGTCAAATATTAAGACTAGCTAAGCATATTGATTTCACCTAGTCCATTGTAATATAAATTATACAGCAGATGTTTTCTCTCTCCTCTTGAGATATTTTGGAATATGACAACTGAGACCTATTATTTCATGGCGCTGTTATGTTTCTTGTCTACTCGCCATTGCCAGGCATAGGGCACAAATGGCTCCTAAATCCATCCATCCATCCCCTATACTCCCAACCCATTACTTAATCATGTTCAGTTGTATGATGCTACCTATCCAGCTCCATGTTGTTGACCCCCCATGAAACAGATATCTACATTTTAAAGAAAGATATTAGAAATTTTCAGCATAAAGCTTTTCTTTAACTTTTCCATATTTTTCAGAGTGGTTGCTCCCGATACTGTCCTTTCTTTCGCATTGCTTAGCACTCTCAATATGGAAGGTGAGCCAAAAAAAGAGACAAGCAACTCCTTGTTTTAAGTAGTGAAACTGGAAAGAGGGAGGAAAGCTGTCAATAATGAACTTTGCAAAACAGAGTTGTGCCAGATCTTCACCCTTGATTGCTTTTAAGGTGAAGGTTGCACTTTTGAGTTTTGTTGTAAAAAGCAATGCAAATGCCTACTTTGGCTTCTTTTTTTATGTAGCTTTTTTCATTTGAAACCATTGTTTGGTGTTTTTCAGCACCATTTCTTGTTTTTAAGATGCTTAGTTTTTTTTTCTTTCAGTCTGCATTCCAGTCGAGCAAGGATCTTGATGAATATACAAAACTACAAAGCCAAAGCTGACTACAAGGGGGCTTTGGTGAGGGCAAACAAAGCCACCTTCCCCTTATTCTAATTTCCCAATTCTAATTGCATCCTGATATGTGACACATTCCAGTTTGCATCCAAACAGACATTCCAGCAATGCCTAGTTGTAATGCTAATGGCGCTGCTTTCATTGCCACTGCTTTCATTGCATGACAAATCTAGAACCCTCAACCTGATTTTTGAAGCCATGGTGGTGACAATTTCCTTCAAGCCCACAAGTATCCTTCCCACTTTTCAAGCTCCTAACTAAAAAATTAGAAAATTCAGAGACAGTTGTGGGTGTGCATAAAATTTTTAAAGAAATTCTAGTACATGTGCCAGATTTAACCTGGTTCAAGTTCAAATTACCAGCTTACCAACTAAAAGCCTATTCAAACATTATGGAAAAGGATGAAATCATCTGGAGTGAACTGGGATGCCAAATAAGTCCCACTGGCTGGAATTGCATTCATTATATAGTTACTCCCCTAGCATCCATTATGTCATAGTGTGAACCTATGCAGGGAGGGGGCCT